GCGAGAGCTGCGAGTGCGCCGCGGCCTTGGCGCGCGCCACGCCAGGTGCCGAGCTGCGGGGGGAGGCGCGCGCGACCCGCTCCCACACCTGCCCCGAGCCGGGGTCGCCTCCGGACCCTCCTCCATCCGGCAGCTCTCAAAATGGATTCCTGGAAACCACCGCCGAAATGTGCTGGGTGTGGGATGGGGTGCGTTCTGATAGCTGCCCCTCGCCGGAGCGACTGTAACCCAGCTCGTTCCGGGAACACTTTAAGAAACACCACTCCCGTCTTTCGCTTCACGGAGTCCAGCTGTCTTCTCTCAGGGTTGGACCAATGTCCGGGGTGGGGTGGGGGGTGGGGCTTTCATCTTGCTTCCCTTTGATCCATTCCTCGTTATCGGAAACGCCAGTCTGATCAGGGCATTCCCTTCCGCTGAGTGGCCGTGTCCGCAGCATCTTGCCTCCTTACCTCTCCTTGTTGTCTTGGGCTGGAGTGGAACATGGTAGGGGAGGCCACTAGTGAGTCCCACCGGGAAGGCTTCCTGGAGGAGCTGAAGGTCCGTGATGGGCGGTCAGGAGGGAGCAAGCCTTGTGGAATAAGCTCGGCAGATCTGAGGAGCAAACAGCAGGCCAAGGTGACTAGAGGGCAGGAGGAGCTAGCAAGGCCGCGGTGGGGGTTTGAGTCTAGTATTTAGTGGAATGGGGAGCCGGAGGAGGGTGCGAAGGGGCTCGATAGGCCCAGAGTCCGGTATTTAAAAGATCCTGGAGAACGGCTTTTGGCCGTGGCAGTAGAGGGGATGAGGAAGCCGGTGGGCGGCCATAATTAAGCCACATTTAAATGGCACTGACTAGGACTTGGGTGGGGCAGTCTGCCAACAGAGATGGAGGAAAACGGTCGGGATGTGTTGAAGGTAGAGCTAGCAGGATTTCCTGTTGAATTTGGTGGGGGTGACGGAGAAGGAGGTCGGAGACCACGGAGGAACAGGGCCTAAGGCCATGTCGACGTTTCCGTTCCGGGTCGTGCTAAGTTTGGGTTGAATTGCGCTGGGGAAGAGACGGGCCGCAGATGGCTGCTGGGAATTAGAAGCTGCTGACGATGTTCTCGTCGACCCTCAGCCGCCTCTCCCTGGTCCGTGCCCGGCCGGGTGGACTGCTTCTCATGCTTCTGGCTGTCGCTTGTTCCCTCACTGCATTGTCAGTTCCTGGAGGGCAGGGCTGTGCCTCCGTGTGTCCCCGGCACACAGCACGGTGCCTGCCAGGAGGCGGTGCTCCCTGACTGTGGCGTGAAGCACTGTTTGCTTGAAGCATCTCCCCGTTTCAACACTATCCTCGCTGCCGCGCCCACGCTGGGTGAGGGGCTGTCCCCTGGATCCCTCATGGGTCCCATCACACGGGCAGCAGCAGATCAAGAACTTGCCCGAACTTTCACCGCACTAGCCAGCGGCAGAGCTGAGGCCAGAAGGCCAAAACCAGGGGGTCAGCCTGGTCGTCCCGAAGGCCCTCTGGTTCTGACTCTGGGGGCTTCACAGACGGGGAGCGCAGTGGCCTTGCCTAAAGCGAGCGGTGCTGGTCCAGCTCCCTGCAGTAGCGTCTGGCTTCGGGCACAGCTGGATGTGGCACTGGGACAGTGTCCTCTTGGCTCGGTTGCCTTTTGGTCAGCAGCCCCCCGGGCACCCGCTGCGGCTGTCAGCAGCGCCAGGCTCCCCCCTCACGGCCCCTGTCTTTGGGGGAGCTGGGCTCCAGGCCCCAGTCTTTTCTCGTCGGCCCCCAGGCCTGAGTCGTAGAGCCGCCCTTTGGGTCCCACTCGGGTCCCTGTGCCTCTCCTGGTGCCAAGTGCGTGGTTGGCCGAGCCACATGCCTGCCTGCGGCGGGGACCTCGGCGGGGAGGAGGGCTTGGGCGGGGGCCGGGCACGCGGGAGCAGCCCTGCGAACTGCTGGCCTTCCTCCCCGCAGACCACTTCCACATGCAGTCGGAGTCTCTCATCGGGCCCCTGATGCAGACCATCGCCCACCAGCACTGGAAGGTTCGGGTGGCCGTCATCGAGGCCACGGGCACCGTGATCCAGTTCGGCAGCGGGAAGTCCGTGGACGACGTGCTCCCTCACTTTGCTCAGCGGCTCTTTGACGACGTCCCCCAGGTAGCGGGGCCCTCCAGGCAGTGCCTGCTCCCAACCGGAAGCGAGCCAGTGTGCGGCTCCTAACTCACTTCCGTTCCCTTTCTTTAAGGCGCTAAATGCCACGCCGAACGGCCTTTCGTCAGTCCCAGTCACAGGTGTTCCTGTTTCACTTGGGAAACTGGGGCGCGCTGCATTGTCTTAGGACACCTGTCATTCTTAGGTCCGAGGACTGTGGAGGGGGACCGTTTCCTCCCAGGAAAAATGTCAGGGCTGGTGCTTCCACCGCTGGCAGAAGCGTCTCCAGAGTGCCTGCCACCGAGGCCGACTTAAGGGAAAGCCGTGATGGTTGGCAAACCAGGCCTAGGGGCAAGGGGCCGTGCTGGGGTAACTCGCTCCGTTGGAATGTGGGTCCCCCAACTTAAGCTGTTGCAGGCGGGTCCCAGCCCAACACCCCGGGCCCGCAGACCTGACTCCGGAGGAGTCTGACTCAAGCGGCGTGTTGGCCGTTTTGAATCGAATGTTCCCTGCTTAGTCTGTCACTTGGCAGCCCTGTCCAGTGCCATTTTCTGAACTGAGAGAAGAGGCTGGTTTGTCTCATGCTGACAGGAGCTTGCAGGTGTCCAGCGGCACCAGCTTGAGCTGGTGGGAGAGGCCAGTCTGGGACTGGGGGCGGCTCAGAAGCTACCCCGTGGAGAGGTAGCGAGAAGCCTGAGGTCTCCTCCTACAAAAGAGCCCCGACCTTCGGGGACGCCTGAGTGTGGGGTGTGGGGCCCTGCAGAAGCCCCTGCCCCCTGAGCTGCGGCCGGCATGTCCAGTCACAGAGCTGGACCCAGATTCCCCTGGACACTCGTGTGTTGCCTCTCCCAGGCCCTGCAGTGTGGGCCTCTCTAGCATGTGGCCCCTGCCAGCAGGATTCCGAGTGTCCCCAGCTCACGATATTAACTGAACTTCGAGTTTGCCTCTTATCGCAGTTTTATGACAAGTGTGACCCTACATGGAGGCCTTTTAGCAATGCTAAACTCGTCAGCAGTCCCTGAGGCCCTTAATGTTCTGCATAAAGGTGACATCGGTCTGTCGTGACTGTCCCCGTGGTCGAGGCAGCGTGGGGCTGACTGGACTTCTGAGATTGTCGTCTAGGCACTTGGACTCTAATCTTGCGTGTTTTCACACTGTTGGGAGGCTGTCTCTCCGCAGGGGTCTTTGTTTGTATCTTTGGCTGTCAATAACAGTTATCTGGCCTTAACTACCACCCAGTTTTTAACGTTGTAGCTCGTTAAAGTAGCTTAGTACCTGATGTTGTTGCTAATTGCAACAGTAGCCCAGCATTGGGCCCTTCCGCTGCTCCCCCTGAGTGGGAGTTGTAGCCTGGAGCTGCTGAGCTGTTCCTGCCCTCAGGCTCTATGCCGCTTTCTTTCCTTGCAAGAAGCGGGGTGACGTGGATCCTGTCGGGGTGACGTGGATCCTGTCGTCCTCTCTGTTCTCCAGACGGGTGCCGCTTTCTTTCCTTGTAAGAAGCAGGGTAACGTGGATCCTGTCGTCCTCTCTGTTCTCCAGACGGGAGGGTGAGCTTTCGAGAGGCGGGGCCGCTGGCCCCGGGTCCCAGAGCCTCAGGGCCATGCCAGGTGGGCTCCACTGGTTTCTAAGCCTTGCAGGGGCCATGGCCGAGCAGCCCACCCCAAATCCTCGTGGGTGGTGCTGGGGCGCAGTCAGCCCTGTGAGCAGTGGTGTTGGAGGGCCCATGGCAGCTGGGGCCACCTCACCCGAAATGCCCGGTGCCTCCCACTGGCAGCTCCAGCCAGCGTCAGACACACGGCCACGGGCCCCTTCCTTGGTGGGACAGCCCTATGGGGCCATCCCACTCGAGCCCCTGAGGGGTCAGGTGGGTGGGGCTTAAGCCAGGCCACACCTCTGCCCTGCTTCTGCCCCCCGCCCTCAGCACCCATCACTCCATCTGTCATCCAGGGTCCAGTCTCAGGCTCTGCTCCAGGGCTGGGCGTCTGGCACATGGTGTTTCTGGAGCATGTTCTTTCCCTGTGGTGGGCACGGTCTGCAGAGCTGTACATGTCACCTTTTCAGGCAGCCCGCAGCAGGGGCTCCCCGCTGGCTCCCCCCGGAGGCCCTGGGGCGGTGTGGCCCTGGCACGCCACCATCGCCCAGCCTGGCCGGGGGTCGCCACACAGGGGACGTCGCACACAGGCCACGCAGCTTCGTGCCTGAGGCTGTGCCGGGGTTGGAGGCCGCAGGCCTGAGCCTGTGAGACACTGTGGCCCTGACACCCTCCAGCTTGAGGTGCGGGCGGCTGAGCCGAGTGCCTAGAGCTGGCCCGGGGCCAGGGCAGTGGCTGACCCCGGGCCAGAGCACTCCTGTGGCACGTCCCCATGGGCGCCAGCGCTGCCCCACACACCCACTGTGCTCCCCTTGCATGCAGGTCCGACGGGCGGTGACGTGCGTGGTGGGGGGCTGGCTGCTGGACCTGCGGGACCGCTACTCTTTCTTCCCCAAGCTCATCCCACTGCTGCTCAGCAGCCTGGACGACGAGATGCCAGAGATTGTGTAAGTGCCCCGGTGGCTCGGTGCCCGGGGCCCTGGGAGACTGTCGGCCTCCCACCCCAGGTCGGGCCCGTGGCCCAGCACGCCCACAGCCGTGTGGCTTCCCTTGCCTTCTGGCTGCAGGGACCTGCTCTTCCCAAATGTCGTTGGCAGTAATGGCTGTTCCTTTTGCTTCAGGGTCTGTCACAGACGCCCGCCCTGTGCCCGCCCGTCCACCTGTGCTGGGAGGTTGTGGCCCAGAAGGGTCTCTGTGGCGTCTGAAATATAATTTTGCCCCTTTAACACTTCAAGCATAGAAACCAGTCAGCAGACCCACAATGCCCCCCGCCTCCCGTGGGTCCCCTCCCCACCCGTGTCTCTGTCCTCAGGTGCACGGCGGCCAGCCTCTGGGAGAGGGCTGGCCTGCAGTGGCAGCAGGAGAACGAGGATGACCTCAAGGACAAGCTCGACTTCGCCCAGCCGCCTCCCGCCCATCACCCCTCTCCAGGTGAGCCCCGCGTGCACGGGACGGTGACGCGGCGGGGGTGCAGGAAGGGGCCCCCTCTGTCCTGGGCGGGGCCAGCGCTGGTGTAAGCGGTATGGTTTCTATGGGTGTGCAAGTGACCACGGGAACCTGCTCCAGGAGGCCCCGTGTGCGAGCTGTGACACATGGCGAGCTGTGAGGCACAGGGCGGATGGCTGCTGGTGGCAGAAATTTTAGAGACGGGCGGTGCTTTGTCATTCTACAAAAACAGCATCTTTTGTAAGTGTCACCTGAAGAAGCGAACATAGGGTCCGGGGAAGGCGTGAGCCCCGTGGGGCGTGACTCCCGCGCTCAGACAGACGCCCGTGCTGATCCCCGCTTCCTCTGTCCTCCCGCTCATCGCGGTCCCGGCCACATGCACGTGCGTGCCGGGGCACCTTCGCGGCCCCAGACCTCCCAGCGCCCGCGTCGGGGCTGAGCCCTCGGCCGCACGCCCTCGTGCCCTGTCCTGGAAACCGCTTTCTCACGTGGGGACTGAGTGCATTCCGGTTGTAGTGGGTCACATGCCTTTGTCACCGCAGCCTTTCTGCGGGGTGTCTTCTAAGTGCAGTGACGGGCAGGTGCCTGCCGACAAGGACAGGTGGTGAAGAGGCAGCGAGTCAGGCAGAGCGCGTGTGTGAGGTGCGAGGCCGTCGTGTTCACTTGTGAAACAAACTGGCTTTACAGAGCCCTGTACCTCGTCTCGTAACTGCCGCTCTGGGAAGGCTGGGCCAGCTGGCGAGTCGTCCGTCCGCCCTTTGGCCGGCTTGTCCGCTCAGGTTCTTAGAAGCTTCTCGCTGGTGAACGTGCTGCAGTTATGTTTCATGAGTGACGGCTGAGCTGCTCTCTGCACCTAGGACATTGTCGTCCCGACCTCAGGGCGTTCCCGGACTCCCCTGCTGCCACCGTGCATGGCAAGGACCCTGCACTGTTCCTGACTGGAAAATCATCAGGCCCGCAGAGGGGTTTGGACCTGCAGAAGCCAGACCCTCGTCCAGCACGGTGTGGCCACCGCGGGGCCCTCTGGGCGGCTCTCGAGAAGTCGAACGCGCACTCCCTGTGCAGTCCAGCCATGTCCAGCCGGGGTGTGTGCGCACGTGCACACCAGCCCCATGTGGGTCAACCCAGGCATCCTTCACCTGGGGACGGGATGGACAGGCTGCGGTACAGCCAGGCATGGAATGTCATTCGCCGTAACAAGGAGGCAGTTCTCATACACGCTGCAACGTGAGCGAACCTCAGACGCCATGCTCGTTTGTAGGAAATCTCCAGAAAAGACACAGCTAGAGACACATAGAACAGTCCAGCGGTCCCCAGGCAGGTGCGGGAGCTCCACGCCTAGCACACCTGGGACCTGTTGGGCAAATAATGGTTGAAAATGCTGAGTGCCGTAAAGAAAAATGCACGTGCCCTCAGGTCAGACATCCTACCAGCGGAGGCCTTGCCCGGAAGACCGGGAACCGCTCCGTGTGGTTTCAGCTCAGGCAGAGCAGGAGCGGTGGGGTCGGACAGGCAGGCGCGGGGACAGCCGATCGCTGAGCAGGTGCAGACCGTGCGGCGAGAAGGCTGGTCTTCAGCAGCGGGGATGGAATGGTTGGATCTGCAGAGAGCGAAGCTGGACCCGGCCCTCCCATGCTGCACACGCGTTTACCCCAGACACGTCACGCACTTGGAGGGAAGACCCAGACCTGCACCTTCCGGGACAAAGCCTTTGCGACCTTGGGCTGGGCAAAGCTCTCACAGGCTCATCAAAAGCACACTCCGGAAAGGGATGAACTGGCTAATCGGACCTGTCGAAATAAAAAGTGCTGCTCTTTCAGAGACGTAATGCGAGTGGAAACACAGTGCAGACCTAGCGAAAATATTTCCAAATTATACAAGAGTTTGTGTTCCGAATACAGAAAGAACATTAAAAACGATAAGGAAAAAAACCTAGTTTTTTCACGGGCAGAAAAAGGATGAAAAGAGTTCCGCGAAGAAGAGGCACAGCTGGCAAATAAGTCCGTGAAAAAACGCTCCTTGTCACCCATCAGGACGAAAGTGAGGACCGCACAGAGAGGCCACCGTGCCCCCCGCCCCGGCGGTGTGGCTGTGAGGCCGGCCACACGGAGCTCCTGCCAGCTCCCGGGGGCTGGAGCTCCCGCGCACGCCGGTGGGGGCGTGAAACGTGGAGCCCCTGGAGCGCCAGGGCGGTGCCTTACGTGTCGTGTGTGTCCGCGCCCTGCAGCCCGGGCGTCGCGCTGCCAACCGGGAAGTGAAAGCAGCGTCCCCTCGGGCGTGTGCGTGAATGCTCGCCACGCCGTCGGCCCCGCAGACAGCTCAGGTGGCCGCCAGCAGGCAGCTGGCCGGCTCCCTGCTCTCCACGCCCTGGGATGCCGCTCGGCAGCGAGGGGTCTGCGCAGCAGCACGCGGGGCCGGAGTCACGGACGACCTCGCAAAGCGAAAGAAGCCAGACAAAAAGAGTGCATCCTGTGCAATTCCACCTCAGAAAATTCTAGAACACGCGTTCGTGTGCAGTGACAGGGAGCAGACCTGTGGTCGCCAGGTGGGGGCATCACAAGGGCGCAGGAGACTTTGAGGTGATGGACGCGACTGCTCCTGATCGCAGGGGTGGCCGCAGGCGGATCCAGAGCTTGACCAGTTACACACGCTCAGTGCATGTGGCCGTCATGTGTCATGGACACCTCCGCATCGCCGTAGCGATGGAAACCGTGACGCTGTCCCCACTCCTGACTTTAGAGAAAAAAAAAGAGTAGGACTCGCAGGCGCACCTCAGAGGAGTGCACAGTAACTTACGTTCTGTGGCGTCACTGAGCTGTTTGTGAACGTCACAGTTTGTTCCTGATTTTTTTCATCCAGAGAACCGCCCAGCGTTGGGCTGTCGGGAGCTCGTCTTCAGAAACCTCTCCAAGATCCTTCCCGCCATCTGTCACGACATCGCCGACTGGGTGGTGGGGACCAGGGTGAAGTCCGCACAGCTGCTGGCAGTGCTGCTGCTCCACGCCGAGGACCACATCACGCAGCACCTCGAGGTCCTGCTCCGGACGCTGCTCCGGGCCTGTGCCGACGAGGAGGCGGCCGTGGTCAGCAGTGTGAGTCACTCTTCCCACCCACGCGGAGCTGTTTGGGGCGGGTCTGCAAATCCTGACAACCCCGAGCCGCCGTGGAGCCACCTCCACGCCGAGACCCGGAGTGCTTCCGTCACCCCGAGGCCACCCACCCCACGCCCAGCCCCTGACACCAGCAACCTGCTCTCGGTCCTGTAACCTGTCTCCTCGAGGGTGGTGTACACATGGAACTGGGTCCCTGGGGGTTGGTGCTTTCGTGCACCCTGACCGCCGAGGCCCACCCACTGGCGCGTCCACAGCCCCACCTCAGCACCGAGCGCCCCAGGTGTGGGCACAGCACATGCCGCCCCGCATCGAGTGTCGGCCGTGGGGAGCAGAGGGGGCCTCCTGCCAGCCTCTCCCAGAGAGGCTCCAGGGGCCTCTGGTCCCCCAGTGTTTACTGGGGGCACAGGAGCGACGCCCCGGAAGTGCCGAGAGCAGCAGCGCTGGCGCGGGGGGCGCCCCTCAGCTCTCCCTCCCCCGCCCCCCCCCGCAGGGCACGCGGTCCGCGGAGCTGGTCGGGGCCTTCGTCAGCCCGGACGTGTTTCTGAGGTTGATCTGGCCGATGCTGAAGAAGTCGCCCTCCCCTGCTGGCCTCCTGGTGCTCGCTGCCATCGTCCGGGGCTGCCCGAGAGAAGCCCTCCGGCCCCACGTGAAGGCCATCGCCACGGAGCTGGCCCAGGCTCCCATCTGTCAAGGGTCTGAGAGCGTAAGTATGTGGGGACGGGTGCAAGGCAGAGGGCGTGTCACGCTGGACGGCGGGTGCGTGCCCGGCCAGTCGCTCTCTGAACACGGCGCTGTCATTACTAGTAAGTGCAGCTCGGGGACCGGGTGCTGCCGCTGACCCCGTCCTGTTGGGGGCCCCGTTTGCCTCCTGCCTGATTCTGCGTCGTCCAGCACAGAGGCCACCGGCACGAAACGAAGCAGATTAAAGATGCATTCCCCAGCCACACTGGCCGCGTGCCCCGTGCCTGGTGCCACGCGTGGCCGGGGCGCCGTGTGCAGCAGTGCCGGGCAGAGCTCTCGTGGATGCGTCGGGGTTCCAGGGGGGTTCCAGAGCCAGTTCGGAACGTGGAACCCGTCCGCTGTCTAGCCGAATGATCAGGAAACCTTCCCGCACTCCCCCTTAGTGAAAGCGTGAGAGCGTGTGCTCCTGTATGCGTGCGCTTGTTTACTCACGAATCGTGTCTGTAAGTTGCGTTCGTGACCCCGGTCCCGTCCTTTATGGAGGACACGTGGCACAGACGTGCAGGGGGCCTTCTCCGGTGATGCCAGGAAGGGTTCCGATCTGGCCCCGCCCACCCCGGCCCTGTTTTATAGATGACCCAGCGGCAGCGGGAGGGGGGTGGTCGGCTGCTCCCCGCTGAGACGTCACCTTGCCCCTTGTGGGTCGGGAAGCACTTTTTGAACCGTGGGGTTTTATCGTTGTTAAAAGTGAGCACCGTAGGAACGTCCGCGGAGCGCGTGCGTGGGGCGGAAGACAGGCTCGGCCCGTCCCCCTCGGCGGGTTTCAGCTCCTGCCTCGTGCGCCTCCCTCCACCTTTTCCTTGAACTTGGGGGGTGGGGTGGAGAGAGCTGCGTGTTTGAAACAGATCCCAGACGTGCGGTCATCTCACTCGTAGACCCTACGTTACCAGTTAGCGCTGCGAACACGTAAGGACTTTTTAAAACGTCACTGAAGTACGAGTACGCAGTTAACAGCGTTAACGCACGCCCCTCAGCTCCCGGTCCCTATTCAGCTCCCCGTTGTCTGAAAGAGTGCCCGATGGCTGACGTGTTCGAACCAGGCTCTGTGGCCGTCTCTCCAGGGTGGTGGCAGCGGTGGTGGCCTTGGGCCGGCCCTTGGCCAGAGTGGGCAATGGGCGGCGGGCGGCAGCCCTGGAGCGTGGCTGACGCCGCCACTCCGTCCCCAGCTCCTGTACGGCGAGAACCTGCTGCTGTGCGTGCAGGCTTTGGTGGCAGTGTGCCGTGAAGACTGTAGGGCGTCCAGCCTGCAGCTCATGGAGGTGCTGGTGACCGTCATGGCCCTCGCGGGAGCCACGAGCCTGGGCGACCAGGTAAGCCGGGGGGGCGCGGGTGACGGTGCGTCTCTGCACCTCTGCTCTTGCTGCCCAGGCCTCGGGCTGCCCGGCGACGCTGGCCTCCGGCGAGGCTGGCCTTCACCGCTCACAGCTTAGGTCCCCCCCTAACCACCAGTTTGTTACGGTGTCTCAGCGTGAAGACAGCAACTTAGCCCGCTGCAGAGGGGCCCTGAATGTGGAAAAGCACGCACGCGGGGCCCGGGTCGGGACAGAAGGCACGGCACAGTTCCCCTGTGCCGCCCGCCAGCTCTGCACTTAGGCTCCCACCCTGTAGCACGCACCCCCACGGGCCCGCATGTCTTGCCGCTTCTCCTGGAGCTGAGCCCCGGCTCCCGTGGTTCTCCCAAGGGCCCTCAGCCGGTCCCCAGGCCAAGCCTGTGGGGCAGGAGGCCGCGACACCGTAGCAGGGCGGCTCAGCGCCCTCCCTGCCCTCCCGGGCCTCTCTTCGAAGGCCTCCCTTCTGAGAGCTGTGTCTCAGCAGGTGGCTCTCACTGGCGGGCTGTAACACTGGTGGCCACCGTCGGCACATAGCGACTGCAGACCAGACAGGCCCCGAGGGGAAGCGCGGGGCACGGGGCCGTGTCTCGTCTTCCTCACCCTCGGTCCCCAGAGCCATGCGTTGCTGTCCCCCGCAGGCTTAGTCGAAGTGAGAGCCGATCGGAGGGGACGCGGGAGGGTCTCTGCGCACAGAGTTGGTCTGTCCAGTGTAGTCTTCTGGTGGGCCGAGCTGCTGGCACCCCAGCTCCCCGCTGCAGGGCGCGAGGACACGGGGCTCGGTGCTTCGGCGCAGGCGCGTGCGGTCTGCTTTCCGGCCTGTGGCGCAGCGGGCGCTCCCACGACACGAACGGGAGCCACAGAGCCAGCGCCCGCTCCTGGCCCCGTGTGCGCTGCCGAGGGCCTCCGCCCTGTCCCTCCCTCACCGGGGACGCGTCCAGAGCCTGCGCTGCCAGCAGGCTGTGCCCCTGAGCCCTCGTGGGTCCCCGTGGGCTCTGAGCGTGAG